CATCAGCATTCCCATGTTTACGCCCCGCTCTATGGGATAACACCATATTATATTGCGATAATTCCTCCATCCATCGCGCTAACTGTCCCTGCGGCTCCCGAAATCTCATCAACCATCTTAAGCTTGAATGGTCAGTCCTTACTTTAAACGGCTTTCCCAGTAAGTAATGTCTGAACTGTCTAGTGAATCTTACAACTGCCAGTAATTCTTTACGAGTTGTACAGTAACGTCTCTGCTCTTTAGTGAGACCATAACTGCCATATGCGATCACCTTCTCCTGTCCATTTTGAACCTGAATTAATTCAGCTCCTATGGCATATTCGCTGGCATCAGTATCTAATATAAACTCGTCACTTCCCGTTGGAACTGCGAGAACAGGAGGAGTAGTTAATGCTTCTTTTAAGCGATTAAAAGCTACTTCCTGTTTTTCTTCCCATTGGAAGTTCTTCTTTCCAGTCACTGCATACAGTGGTGTTGCAATTTTGCTGAAATCTTTAATAAAAGCCCTGTGATAATTGGCTAGGCCCATAAATCTTTCCACTTCCTTTGAAGTTTGTGGAGTTGGCCAGTCCTTTACAATTTTTACATCATGATCTGATACAGCAAGAGTATCCCCTGTTACTGTACGGCCTAAAAATTCAATTTTCTTTTGCAAAAATGCACATTTTTTAGGCTTTAATTTCAGTCCATAAGCTCGGAATCTAGTGAGGGCTTCTCTTAAGTTCTTTAAATGATCATTAAAAGATTTTCCTAAAACCACTATATCATCTAGGAAAGCTAGCACAGTTTCCCATGTCATTCCTCTAAAAACCAGATTCATAATCCTGGCATAGGTCGCAGGTGCTCCACACAAACCAAATGCCATTCTCACATGTTCATAAAGACCATACTTGGTTATAAAGGCTGTCTTTTTCCTGTCTTCTTCCCTTATTGGCACCTGCCAATAAGCTGAGTTAGCATCTAACTTGGAAAAATAGACATTACCTGATAATGTATCAAGGCAGTCATCCACCAGTGGTAATGGAAACACGTCCTTTACCGTCACTTCGTTAAGTGCACGATAATCAATACACCATCTAACTGATCCGTCTTTCTTTCGAATTAACACTGGAGGTGATGCCCAATCTGATGTAGATTCTTTAATCACACCAGCTTGTAACATCTTATGCAAGTGGGCCCCTTCTTCTTCTGCAAAACAAATTGGTGTCCGTCTCATTCGTTGTTTTATAGGTTTCGCACCACTAGTCTCTATCACATGTTCTATCGCTGTAAAATTGCCTAGGTCGAATTCATCCTTTGCGAAAACGTCCTGGTATTCTCTCAGTACTTGTGCCAACTGCTCACACTGACCTACTTTTAGCTCAGTGCAAGATTCTTTAAACACCTGTTGTAAGTGGGGTGGTACATACATCTTATCATTGATCTCATTTTCATCTATGGTGATTTTATTCACCCTTTTGGTGACTGGATTTCCCTTCCTAGAAGTTGCATGTTTTTCTAAAGTAGCCTTTGCTAGTTTAGTTGCATCTTTATGCTCTGGTATATCATAGCAAGTATTACATGATGGTAACATTACCTGCTCTTCTTCTTTCCCAGGCGTCATTATTTGATCATAAACAAAAGCCCTTCCTATTTCAGCACCTTTCTTTAATAGGCGATGACGGTAACTAGGGTTAATTAGTACCATGATGGGCTCTGTCCCTGCATTACGAATTACCCTAGGTATTAGGAATTTACCTTTCATCCCTTCTGTTGGCTCAATGACATAATCAATTAGATTCACATCCATTACACATTGCACTTTTACAATTGAGTTAGGAGGAATTACTTGACGTTTGAGTACTTTTACTCTTGCCACTTGTGGAGATGTCCCCTTTGGGTCATTATCCATGGTTAATGTCATGCCATCGTAATGCAGAGTTCTATTCTGGGTGTCAATTATAGCTTGACCCCTTTGGGTAAGAAGATCTAGTCCAAGTAACATGTCTTGTTCTATGGGTGCCACATACACCTGTTCTTGATACCATTTATTTCCTATTTTTAATTTCAATGGCCCTGCTGTGAATCCCTCCATTGTCATTTTGCGTCCAGCACATAACATTTTCACATCATTCAATTTTCTAGGAGGATTCTTCATACTTTCATACACTCTGTCTGATAATATAGTTACATCAGCTGCGGTGTCTAATACAGCTTTAATCTTCTTATCTCCTACTTGTATTTTTAGTGTTAAGCAAGATGATGAAACGATGTTACATAACACTATTACAGATTTGTCACTTTTGACTTCTCTGTTTCTCTGCATTATTAAATTCTCATCTCCTTCCATTACTTTTAATGGAGAGGAATGACTGGGTGCTGGTTTTCCCTCTTTACTTTTGACTTCTTTCTTTCTCTGCATCATTAACATTTCATTTCCTTCCATTACTTTTAATGGAGAGGAATGACTGGGTGCTGAATTCATCTTCTTAAGAGACTTAAAGCAGGGCTTTTCCTTGACGTCTGGGCCTGTTGATTCATGGGTCGAGGGTTGGCCTATTTCCCCGACCCTCTGCCATTTCCCTGTGGATTAGATGGACATTCTCTGGCAAAATGACCTCCAGCTCCGCAGGAAAAACAATTTACATATCCTCTACATCTGACACGTCCTCTACCTGCATAAGATGGATTGGGGTTATAATTCCTTTGAATTACGCCACCCCCACCGGTCATTAGTCTTTGATCCAATTGTTGTGCTATCTCTTTAAGTGCCTTTTGCACATTTCCTAGTTCTTCTTTAAAAGTTACCATCTCAGAGATATTACTGGATGACTTTTCATCTTTCATATCAGGCTGTTGTGTCACACTATTAACCCTTTTGGTCATAGTGCGCCCCTTCTTTGTCTCCATGGTGACCTTAAGTTCTCTATGCATTTTAGCTAATTGCATAGCTTCATGTAAGGTTTGAGGACGTTGCATGTAAATGGCTTGTCCAGCTTCTGTATCCAACATTCCAGCGCAGAATCTGTTAACAGCCTCTGAGTCCACAAATGATTTAGGCAGGCTGGGGTAGGCTTGTGACGCGAGCCTTAGAACGCGCACACCCCATTCATCCACTGATTCAGTTTCACTCTGTAGTGAATTATGGAGTCGCCAACGCACAGTCACTGGTGTGTCTGTTTCTCCATAGCACATCTCTAATTCTTCTAAGAGGCCCTTGTAGGTCAACATGCCTTCACGTTTGGTCACATTTACACAACACTCTTGTGCTTTTCCACTGAGGCATAAACAAAGTCCATCCAGGCACATATTTGAATCCCAACCCTCTCTTTCTGCGTGCCTTAAAAATACTAGTTTAAAGGCTGCCCAGCTTGTCTTTCCATTGAAAGTTAGATTTTTAGGGGGGCATACCATACGTCTAGATGCAGAAATATTTGGAATTGTAGGTTGATCTATTTGCATGGGGGATTCTTGTGAATGATAATAATCCTCCCCTCCCATTGCGTTAATGGGAAAAGCTGGTGTATTTGCAATATTAGTGCCAAAATTTGAATTGACAAAAATGGGGTTATTTTGGTTCCTTTGAACCTCAGGGTTGGCTGAGAAATTTTGAAAATGAGGGTTAATTAGATTCCTTTGAATCTCAGGGTTGTCACTGGCTGAAAAATTTTGAAAATGTGGACTAGTCTGGTTCCTTTGAACCTCAGGGTTGACACTGGTTGAAAAACTTTGCAAATGTGGTATATTTGAGTTCCTTTGAACCTCAGAGTTGACATTGGATGTAACATTCTGAAAATGTGGACCAGTCAGATTTCTATGAACCTCAGGGTAGACAGCAACATTTTGAAAATGTGAACCAGTCGGATTTCTATGAACCTCAGGGTAGACAGCAACATTTTGAAAATTTGAACCAGTCGGATTTCTTTGAACCTCAGGGTAGACAGCAACATTTTGTAATTGAGGGTTTGTTGAGTTCCTTTGAACCTCAGGGTTGGATGGAAAAAGTCTCCTCTGGGGTGGAGTTTTGAGAAAAGTGCTTTCACTAGTCTCATAATTTTTAGCCACAGACTGAAAGGGATTTGTTGTATTTAAAACAGTCGGTTTCCTTTTCCCCCAACTAAACAACTTTTTAGCAGATTGCCATAACCAATTCTGACCTAAATTTGGTATCCAAGATGACCTAGAATCTGCTGACCCCGATAAATGAGGGTTAGGGGAAAAGTCTATCACACTAAGGGCTAAAGGAGACAACTGAACTTCCAACCATTCCTCTACCAAATCTTTTGTTAAGTTACCCCTTTGAGCTCTTAACAAATATAACATTCGGGCCTGCCCTGATGTGACACCGGGTATGTCTTGAAGTTGAAGGTCAGTGGCATAATTGATGTAGAATCTATGCACGTGACCCGCCATTTTGAGAATAGTGTTCACTTTTGAACGAAATTACAACGAATACCCAAAAATAAGATTCAAAAAAGACAAAACAACCTAGATAACACTAAAGCAATACACAATAATACTAACAGCACTTTTACTGACAGTATATTATTGTTATATCGCTGACCGAGTGAATTCTAATACACGAGTGACGGGCGCTTTCACCACTTACCTCGTGTCCTCACAATTTTTTCTTTTTTGAATTTTACTAAAGCTACGTGAGTTCGTGCTTCCTTGTCGCCAATGTAGAATTCCCTTTGGATTCTAATTAAGGTAATAGTATGTTTCTTACCTTTAAAGCTCTTTAGCTTGAACCAAATTGTCACTTTCTTAATTTCTTGGATAGCACGTCTTTTCATGTAGAAGTCCGGCTAAAAACTATCTGTCATTCAGTCTCGCTATCAGTCCAGTCATGTGATCTGCCTTTTCAGATCGAGACATAAACATACCAGTTGGCACTACATATGACATATTTTGTAATGTCTCAATAACGATCATTTTGAATATAAGTATAGACTGGTAGTTGTAATTCATTACAAATCAAATGACATTGGAAGAGAAACAGCTAAAATTGAACAAGGTGTTTGTGTCATCTGGCCATGATTCGCCGCAAAAGGAAGCATGACCAGCACATGTTGTAGGGGTTGCCTTTCAAAAAACATTTAAAACAAAGCTGAGGTGTATTGAGCGCACATTTTTTAAATATTGAACATGATTTATGATGTTATCGAGAAGTGTTCACCTTTATCAACTTTTTTTCTCATCGTGACATTTTTTTCTTTGCAGGTCTCATGAGGACCGAGACCATTTTGAAGATCATCATCAGCAGCACCATGAGCATTCAGTAAAAGGGTAAATAATGATAAAGTAACAAAAGACCCCACATGGCTTGTCCTCTCATGAATCAAATTATCAGTTGTTGCCAACAGATGTTATAGAACATTTTTTTTTTTAAATTTTATTTCACATTTCATTTTACTTATAATTTATATGAACCCTACAAAATTTAATATTTGCAAAACTTTTTGTTTTTAATGTCTGAACTTTATGAAGTTTTTTTCTGAAAATGCTACATCAAATGGAGATGTAATAAGATTATGAAAGAAATTAGTTCTGAAAAAAAATATTATGTTACACATTAGTATATGCTCATCTTGAATGATACAGATTTTCTTTCAATACATAATAATTTGCCAGTCACCTGACCGTAAAGTGAGACAAATTTGCACCCACTAAAATGAAAAGCTGGGGTAGCACTAACACTCGCCAATTTAGCCAAATGCTAAAACTGACTAAAATTGGCTAAACAAGAAGGGCTTGATTTGACTGATTTTAGTCAAATTAAAGTCATTTGGATAACAAATTGACAAAAATTTAGTGATTTGGCTAAGCGTAAAAATTGCTAGCGCTACCCCAGAAAAGACATTTTCCACTCCCTGTCCATGAAGTCAAAACTGTGCTGTTAAAGCATTTTTTTTAAAGAGAGGCAGAGCAGTGTGATTGAAAAACTTAAACACCTGAACATGCAGACACGCTCGCTCGCTCGCTCGCTCGCTCTCTCTCTCTCTCTCTCTCTCTCTGAACACATCTTGTGTAATATAATGTGGTAAAACATGTCCTCTTTCTCTACATTGCAGGTCTAGAGATAGAGATGATGGAGAGCAGCAGCAGATACAGGGTGGGGGGAATTACCCCAGTGGAGAGTCTGACGGCCCAGCTGGGATGGATGTAGATGGAGTTATCGAGGTAAGTATGATTGTAGGGAGACAGTGAGCAGTACTGTTTATGATGATTTTTGTAGAACACCATGTGTCACATGACAAAGTATACAAGGTAAAGTGTTTGTGTAAGTAGTTCCTGATTTAAGTCTATTAACATATCATTATGAAGAAGTAAACAGTTTGAACTTTCAAGAAGATGTTGTGACTGTGCACTTGGCAAGCTCTGTAGTTTCTCATTGGAACTGTACAGTCCTTCCTTATAGATGTGAAACCTAAGCCACAATTAGTGTGGCGTGTGTTGTAAATGTACAGTGGAAAAACACATAAACATGTATGGACTTGCTTTGTTTCAGAGTAACTGGAATGAAGTGGTAGACAGTTTTGATGACATGCACTTAGTAGAACATCTACTAAGAGGAATTTATGCCTACGGGTTTGAGAAGCCATCTGCTATCCAGCAGAGAGCAATAATCCCTTGCTGTAAAGGTATGGAATTACCGTCGGTGTAGTTATGACTACTGTTTACTACTATAGTTGTATTTACAGTATTAGATGCAATGAAAAATAATTTTGGCAATGAATCGATAAGTAAATGATGATAGGGAAAAGAATAACGATGCTTAAAAAAATTGTGTGCGTGGTGTATTGAACATACATCTGTGATAAAACATTCTGCATTGTACTGGTAACACAACGGATAATGCTCAAACGTCCTCGCCTCCATGGTGAGGAAAAAAAAGCCCAGTGTTGAGATGAGGATTAAGTACGCCTTCTGCTACATATGTTTCCAAACTTTTGTGACGCATCGAAGGTCAACTGACATCCCAAACTGTTCTTATTGCTGGCACTGCTGCTGTGCTCCCTCTGTTATCGAATTCTCATTTTCCTGTCGTACTCCCGTTTCCAGGCCGTGATGTTATAGCCCAGGCTCAGTCTGGCACGGGAAAGACTGCTACCTTTGCCATAGCCATCCTGCAGCAGATCGATGTGAAGAGACCTGAGTGCCAGGCCCTTGTGTTAGCACCCACCAGAGAACTGGCCCAACAGGTAAGAGACAGGTGTGACATTTGGTAAGCCNAAAAAAAAAAACGGTAAGCCGATTTCCCAGGGGCTCACAGCATCTCAAAAAGTCAAATTTACATTCAGCATTAGCGTAACACAAGTCGTAAGCGTAAGCAATCTAAGTGTAAATAAGTTAAAGGTTTCCAAATATTAATCGGACTATTTGCGGCTTTTAAAACCCCTTCTTTGCCTTATAAACGTGTGATTTAACACATAATAACTTGTAATAACTTGTCAAAACACACCTTTTGCACGTTTGCAGATTAACATGCGCATTAATGCTATATTATGTTATAAGAGCAAGAAATATAAATGTGAATAGGTACAACCTGTCTTAAGATAAATCGACCTGTCTACCACAATGAAACCTCTCATTCGCCCTATGTTTATTTAATCTTCACTTGTCAATACGCATCTTTTGCACATTTTTTTTTTACTTTATCTCACAATTTCAGCTTCAGTGGCGAAAATCGTCGAGTCCTTCACACAATTCTGACATCTTGAAAATGACGGTGAAATATTTGAGCAAGAGAAGTGATGCTGCTGCCCTCTTCAAGGAGACCTGCGCTCATGAGATCGGCCATTCTTTTCTCAGAGATGCCCACGGCATTGAATACAGTTGGGGTCATAAAGGTATTGTTTTTTTTTTTTCAAAACAGCCCATGTATTTCTGCATGAACGGCCAGTATACCGACCTGAAGGCCTTGTGGTTAGAGTACCCGCCTCCGGAGCGGGAGGACGTACATTGTATGTTCGAGTATATATGTAATAAACATAATTGTGAAGTCTACTAAACATAGGCCTATGTATATGGAATTTAGACTTAAAAAAAAAACATAAGATAATAGAAATATACTCGTTTTCATACGATGTTGTGCGGACATCGTCAGAAATATTTATCGCAACATTTCTGTGTGATCAGTTTATTCCTGTACTGTCCTAACTATAATCATTACATCTCCATCTTTTAATTTTGCCGATGAATGACGAACATCGAAATTATATTTGTACAGTGTAAGGACAGTATTTTGAACCTTAACAGACTTATAAACGCCTCTTGCTATTCTGACCGATGATTTTACTTGCAGCTAATAAACGTCATTAAAGACGATTTAAAATGCAAATTGGAATAATGAACACGATTCTTTGATTGATAATAACTATAACTGAAAAAGGAGCGAAGGGTGTGTCCTACATATTGAATACGTACGCACCCCCCCCCCCATACACACACAATGACATTGCTGCCTCTCATATAGTCTCTTCTCTTAATCCCATTCCTTCTAACTGAATAAATAAATGTACTCAATTCTACACATTTGTATTCATTAAAAAAAAGTAATCCTTAACTTAAATCCATTTGGAGATACATGTGCACACTAAACAAGCAAGGAAAATGTTTTATTAAATACCCATTAGAAATCACTTGTTAATTGAAAAAAGCCCATTCTTAAATGATATCTTTTGATATATATATATATATATATATATATATATATATATATATATATATATATTTAGGTACCTCAAGAATTTCTGGAGGATTAAAACCATCTACGCCAGCCTACCCCAGCAGCGGAGAAATAGACCTGATGAAGTACTACAGGGGCAGTACCAGTAATTTCTTTAAAAGAGTGGTCGCCGCCGAAAGTGATGTGCAGGATTTAGTGTTCAAAGTTAGAGACAGTTACACGACCAATACTGGTAAGATGTTTGATATTCTGCGTGAACGTTCACACTTTTCGAAAAGGTATAGTTACTAATTTTGACCCATTAATCACAAGAACTAAATCCCTCTTGCAAAGAAGTGATGTATCATCTTAAATGGGATACAACAAATCAATTATGATTCTTTTAGTACATTGCTTTGAGAAACCTTTTTTTAGTGAAGTTCTTTTTTATTTTGCAGACATATGCTGATTGCCAGGCTTTCCCTTTACTTTTTGAGAAAACCCGAAAAAACTTATACGAACGGAATGTAGACACTTTTGAGAAGACTGTAAGGCCCCATTCCCATCTGTGTTTAACAGGAAGCATCTAATGTACCTAACACGTGTTTGAAATATTACAATTTGATCGTTAAACGCACTGTCACCCTGCAATATTTTCCACAATCTCTAGCGGAAGCCAACTGAGTGATGACGTCAAATTTAATAATAATAATAATAATAATATATTTATTTATTTTAAGTCTAAAATCCATAAAATGTTCAATAGACTGTACAACATAAAATACAAAGAAGTTTATAGATAAAAATGGTTAAGATATATTTTATATAAATAAGAGCTAAACTAACTTAATTGAAATAAACAGTTATTAAAAGTAAAAAATCCAAGGTTTCTTTAAAATTGTAAAATTTAAGATTCATGAATAAAATGTCTTAAAAATATGAGTTTTTAATTCCTTTTTAAAAGATTCTTGTGATTCTATTTGTCTAATAAAAATTGGCAACTTATTCCGCTCTACTGGTGCAGCTACACAAAATGATACGTCACCATATGATTTTAACCTTGATTTTGGAACTTTGAGTGCTATAATGTTTGGCTAGATCAGTTATATATGGTGGAGCTAGATTATAAAAAGCAGCATGTGTAAAAACTAAAACCTTAAATAAAATTCTGGCCCTAACTGGTAACCAGTGCAGATGCTTTAAAATTGGAGTGATATGGCAATCCCTAGGCTGTAGCATTAAAAGCCGTGCTGAGATGTTCTGGATGCGTTGTAATCTTTTGATCTTATCATCTGGACACCCATATAATATAGAATTGCAATAGTCTAGCCTGGAAGTTACCAATGAGTGTATAACAGTAGCAGCAGATGATTGATTCAGATGTTTCCTTATGGTGCCAATATTCCGAATGTTGAATAAACAAGACCTTGTGATGTTGGAGATCTGTTTGTCCATTGAAAGTGTAGAATCAAAGTATACTCCTAATTTTTTTACATGGGGGGAGGAAAATGCCATACTAGCTCCAATTTTAAGTTGCAAGTTATGAGCAAGGCCCTTCTTGTGGGGATGAGTAATGACTAAAAATTCTGTTTTTCCATCATTTATCTTCAATTTGTTTGAAATGAGCCAACCTCTGAGGTCTGATATGCAATCAACAATTGTGTTCACAGACAATGCTGGATCATGGATGTTACAAGATGTGTACAACTGGGTATCATCGGCATAAAAGTAGTAATCTATCTTATGATAACGCAGAATTGCTCCAAGGGGTAACGTGTAAACACAAAACTTAAGCGGGCCAAGCACGCTCCCCTGAGGAACACCAAATAAAAGCTGTGAGAGTTCAGAAAGCACACCATTTATATTAACTTGATGCATTCTCCCAACAAGATAGGATTATGCAGAAATTATCGCTGGGCAGTAAAGAAATGTGGATGAAGAACGTGGATCAGCTGCTGAATAAAAAATATACTGAGAAAAAATATACCAATGATTTGTATTTTATTCATTTGATACTACTAAGTACATAAAATTGAGTCTAGGACACTCCCCCCCCCCCCCACACCGTTCAATTCCGCCAGGACAATCCCCAAGACACCCCCTCCGACACCCCCCCCCCATCAAGACAACCCTCATTCCAGGAAAGATGTACACTGCTTTTGAATTATTTATTTGAGGGATTTCTACTTTTCTGAAATATTTTACTGGAGTTAAGAAATGCGACAGAAAATGAAATAAAAAACAACACTATTGCCTATTTTAACAAAAATGAAATCGGTGAGATTATTTGTTTATCCCTTCTTTACCTGGTGATAGGGGGTTAATTGTCCATACAAATGACAATAATTACTTTAAGACTAAGTAAATTACATACGGTGGTCGGTTGCTATGACAAGTGACCTTATCAAGGACATTTTTGTGTACGAACATCTTATAAAACTTTTGAAGCTCAATACTCTGCTAAATGATAAAACGGCTGCAAACGAACTTAAATTCGTGGGAGTGTTTTAAAATATGCTTTGGGTTGACATTTTACATCATAAAACATAGTTTAAAACTTTTGAAATAATGATTCATGATGGAAAGTGTTCTAGGCACTACACACACATCCCGGATACAGTGTCAAGGTTACGATATTAGTTCGTCATATAATGCTTAATGTAGCCAAATGTTCACAAGCACAACGAAGCTCTGTTTTTGCTCCAAAGTAAGTAAGATAAGTCCATGTAACTGAAAATTGTCAATTATTAATTACGAAAACTAATAAGATGCGCAGTTACAAAACTGGGGAGATAATATAACGACTTCCAAACTATATAAGTGTCATAATATAAAAATAATAAAGTATGTAAATGAGTGTAACCAAGATTAATTAAGAAAATTATGAGAAATAACAACAGCTTTAGGAGCAAAAAGTTGGCACAAATGAAAATAAAAGGCCATAAGATGTGAGAGAAGCTCACATCCCCGTAAAAGTAGGCAGAAATGTAAATTTTAAAACTACTTCTAGGGGCTTGCCACCGTGTTGATCCACTTGGCTCTCCACGACAAATTTGAAAAAAAAAAAGATTATCATTTCCGCCTTCTATATTTAGAGTGGCCAACCCACTTTGATGACCAGGTAGGGACCAATTTTGCGTATTCCAAAGTCGTTACATAGTAAATTACTACTTTGTAAGCTTTGTCCACGTGTTCATTTGTGGGTTTTTTTCGGTTCCCTTGAAAATGATTTCTAATGTAAATTGTTTATTGCTCAAATTCCTTCTAAGAAACAGCGTTGTCCTTGCATTACAGCACGTCTGCTTATTTTAATGACTCAAGAATAACCACTCGTGTTCCCTTCGACCAATGAATTACCGGTAGCAGATTGAATATATTCTTATTTAAACATAGGTCATGTCTTGTGAGGAACCAAAATTTATCCCCACCCAGTATTTTCAAGTATTCCATACATAACACTTTCCATTTGCGCTCATTGTTTTCGTTTATTAATTTTTGTACCCATGCGAGTTTCAGCGCTCTTGAAAAAGACGAAGTCGGGGACTCTTAGTCCACCGTCTATATAGTCTTGCCTCATTCTGACTCTTTTTATCTTTTTTACATTCAAAGTTAGTCCCTGTTTTTTTCTAAAAATTTTGTTTTTGTTATAATCTCTCAAGAGATTATAACAGAGTATAGCCATCAATGGAGGTCATGTGGTCTAAAGGCAAGCTTAGATATCAGAATAATAGCTATAACTGCCGTTTTGTGGTAAAACAGGATATATTATATATCTGTGAGTTGTTCACAATGTTTTTATTGTAAAATATAGATCTCATACGAAGAGTTATTATCCCTTTAATATGTATATTGTCGTAAGCAGTTCGAAACCATGCAGGTTAGTTGTGAATATACAGACTTGACATTTAATATGGAATATTTTTTTCCAAGTCATTTTTGATCAGTTTTTTCCTATTTTGCTGTCTGATAAATGANGACCCGCAGGGTAAGTAAGGGGAATTTCCGGCGGCACTGTATCATCTCGCAAAACAAACGACCTATCCATTCGGTCTCCTTAAATTCCAGCCAATGGAAATGTGATTAAATACTGCAAACGTTAAACATGGTGGCATTTTCAGCTCTTGTACAATATGTTTAGCCTAAAATTCAGGCAACGAACAAATCGGTTCTCACAAATAGAGTTTTGTAGCTGGTGGAATAGTAAGCTTTGAAAATGCAGCTGGTTGTCTGACCTCTCAATTTATACACCTGGTTAACTTAAAATGAATATTCAACGTAATGATATAATAATGATTAACTATGAATAAATAAAAAGCAATGTAATTTCCGCATTCTACATTTAGTGGCTACCCAATCTCGATTTTTAGGTTTAAGTTGAATATCAACCGTTACTTGATAAATATTTTGTTAACTTTTCCTTCATGTTAATTTGAGGGTTTTTGGTTTCTTTTGAAAATGACTTCTAATGCAATTAATTTCCTGCTATACTTCTTTCTGAGAAACACCACTGCATTACAGCACCGCAGTACCGTAGCACTTTTGCTAAGGACAACCACTCACGTTCACATTGGCCAATAAATTACTAGATCCACTGGGGGTGCAGTACTGAGAAGTCATCTGCATTTTTTATAATCCCCGAAAATCGTTAAAAATATGTGTGTTGGTGCAGTGATAATAAAACAAGTTTCTACTCGTACGTTGTATTTCTATATACAACATGCGTAACACATTGTACATGTAACACTGTTTTTGCTATTTTTTAAATGCATGTCACATGCGGATGAGTGAAAGCAAGGATCAAATGCCTGTGCCTTTTTTTTTTTTTTTTACTAATTATGGTCAATTTAGATCTGTCAGCTAAAATCGTTTGGGTTAATCGTTTGTAAAACGCTCTCAGACCTATACATCGTAAGGTTGACTTGCTACCCAAGTCAGCATTGCGATATAGGCTCTTGTAAAACAGTCCACTTTAATTGCAAAAAAAATGATATTGTTACTTACACGGAACTAATTAGCACTGACATCTCGGTAGCGGTTATATGCAATTAATGTATAACTTCTACCAGTGACGTCGCGTATTTAGTCCATTAACCAAAAAGAGTGCCGAATTATGTCAACAAGGAATTAGGCGCACCTGATATACCTAGTATATAAACCAAAAACGTTCTTGGTTTTTAAACTCATAAGACTGAAGGTCCGCTTTAATAACTGTTGTAGAGTATGAGTATGACAACCGCGATGAAGCACCTTTGTGTTGCGCTTGCATTCGTGATGGCTTTAGAATGCTGTGGCGTTTTAGGTAGGTTATAATCACTTTTTTCACTTGTAATCATTTTAAGTATAGGCGGATTTAGGATACCAATAGTTTTTTCTCTTTTACGAGTCCACCTATGTCAAGACAAAAAGGACGAAAAAATTTCGCTGCCATACTTTTCCCTTGATGCAAAACTGTGCCTTTCAATTTTAACCAAGTGCTCTTTTCACGAAGACACACTGAATTTTTATGTCCACAGCGAAATGCGTAAAAGGTTGTCACAGATGTAAAATTGCAAATGACAGACTTTAATTTTTGAATTTTTTTTTCTAATAGCACCTATTTCTTTTATTTCAGGTAGGCTAGACTGGGTTAAAGTTGTGAAGCACACCCCTTGCAGGCGCTTCGATGTCTATGTGTATATCGACTGTGATAAACCCTGGCTTTTCTACCGTCCCTCCAGCAGCCAGTTCTCAATATTGTGTCGCTACTGTAGAGAGGGTATTGAGAATTACTGGTCCAGAGGAATTTCCTATGCTGGTAGTACTTGGATTGTGAATATCAAAACGGTTTTGAGAAGCAGCGGGGACAGGAAGAAAATTGAGGTTTGTTTTGTTGTTTGTCTCAGCAAGATTTGCAAACAAACCAATAAATGGTTATATGTGTTCAGAAACATACTATTAGATTCAATAATAGTCCTAGGTATAGCTTTAAAATTCAGATTGAATAAAGGAATCGTATTGCTGATTTTGGCGAAAAAAAAAAAAAAAAACAATCAGCGGATTTCCCAGGGGCTCACAGCAACTCAAAAAGTCAAATCAACATGAGCATTAGCGCAACACAAGTCATAAGCGTAAGCAATATAAATGTAAATAAGTTAAAGGTTTCCAAATATTAATCGGACTATTTGCAGTTTTTAAACCCCCTCCTTTGCCCTATAAACGTGTGATTTAACACATTTAATTGATAACTTGTCAAAACACATCTTTTGCACGTTTGCTGATTAACATGACCATTACTGCTATATTATGTCATAAGGGCAAGAAATGTGAATAGGTACAACCTGTCCAAAGATAAATCGTCATGTCAACCACAATGAAATACCCCTCATTCGCCCTATGTTTATTTAAACTTCACCTGTCAGTGCGCATCTTTTGCACATTTTTTTTTTACTTTATCTTACAATTTCAGCTTCAGTGGCGAAAATCGTCGAGTCGTTCACACAATTCTGACATCTTGAAGATGACGGTGAAATATCTGAGCAAGAGAGGTGATGCTACCGCCCTTTTCAAGGAGACCTGCGCTCATGAGATCGGCCATTCTTTTCTCAAAGATGCCCACGGCATTAAATACAGTTGGGGTCATAAAGGTATTGTTTTTTATTTATTTATTTATTTATTTATTTGCTCATTTTTGTACGATGTTGTGCAGACATCGTCAGAAATATTTTCTGGGTGATCAGTTTATTCCCGTCCTGTCCTAACTATAATCGTTACATCTCCATCTTTTTATTCTGCCGATGAATGACGAACATCGAAATTATATTTGTACAGTGTAAGGACAGTATTTTGAACCTTTACAGACTTATAAACGCCTCTTGCTATTCTGACCGATGATTTTACTTGCAGCTAATAAACGTCAATAAAGACGATTTAAAATGCAAATTGGAATAATGAACACGATTCTTGGATTGATAATAACTATAACTGAAAAAGGATAGAAGGGTGTGTCCTACATATTGAATACGTACGCACCCCCCACCCCCACACACAATGACATTGCTGCCTCTCATATAGTAGGCTTCTCTTCTCTTATTCCCATTCCTTCTAACTGAATAAATAAATGTACTCAATTCTACACATTTATGTTAATTTTTAAAAAAGTAATGCTTAATGTTAATCTATTTGGAGATACATGTACACTCTAAACAAGCAATCAAGCAAACGTTTTATTAAATACCCATTAGAAATCACTTGTTAATTGAAATAAAGCCCTTTCTTAAATGAAATCTTTTGATAAATATATATAGGTACCTCAAGCGTTTTTGGAGGATTAAAATCATCTACGCCAGCCTACCCCAGAAGCGGAGAGATAGACCTGATGAAGTACTACAGGGGCGGTACCAGTAATTTCTATAACAGAGTGGTCGCCGCCGAAAGTGATGTGAAGGATTTAGTGTTCAAAGTTAGAGACAGTTACAAGACCAATACTGGTAAGATGTTTGATATTCTGCGTGAACGTTCACACTTTTCGAAAAGGTATAGTTACTAATTTTGACCCATTAATCACAAGAACTAAATCCCTCTTGCAAAGAAGTGATGTATCATCTTAAATGGGATACAACAAATCAATAATGATTCTTTTAGTACATTGCCTTGAGAAACCTTTTTTAGTGAAGTTCTTTTTTATTTTGCAGGCAGATGCTAATTGCCAGGCTTTCCCTTTACTTTTTGAGAAAACCCGAAAAAACGTATCCGAACGGAATGTAGACACTTTTGAGAAGACTGTAAGGCTCCATTCCCATCTGTGTTTAACAGAAAATAGCTTATGTACCTGACACGTGTTTGAAATATTACAATTAGATCGTTAAACGCATTGTCACCCTACGATATTTCCCATACTCCAGATTTTCTCAAGAAATAAAGACATCTGAGGACCAGATTACAAGCAACTGTGGCGCTGTAGTTATTCATACAAATTTTCCCGATACGACACATAACTTGGTCATTATCATAATGGCATTTTGTCATGGAATCACCACATTCATTCGTAGAGCTCGGTAGTGGTGCATAACGCTTTGGATGAAGAACGTGGATCAGCTGTTAAATAAAAAAATCTTGAAAAATGATATATCAATGATTTGTATTTTATTTATTTAATACTACTAAATACATACAATTAAGTCTAGGACAATTGCGCCAGGACAATCCCCCCAGTCTCCCCCCTCCGACCCCCCCTAAGACAACCCCCTTTCCAGGAAAGGTATACACTGCTTTTGAATTATTTAATTGAGGGATTTCTACATTTCTGAGATATTTTACTGAAATTAAGAAAGGAGATAGAAAATGAAATAAAAACAAAACTATTGCCTATTTTAACGAAAATGAGATGGGTGAGATTATCTGTTTACCCCTCCTTTACCTGGTGATAGGAATTATCCGGGGGTTAATTGTCCATACAAATGACAATAATTATTTAAAGACTAAGTTAATTACATACGGTGGCTGGTTGCCATGACAAGTGACCTTATCAAGGACATTTTTGTGTACGAACATTTGATAAAAATTATAAAACTTCTTGGAGCTGAATACCCTGCAAAATGATCAAACAGCTGCAAGCGAACTTTAATTCTTGGGAGTGTTTTAAAATATGCTTTTGGTTGACATTTTACATCATACAACATAGTTTAAAACTTTTGAAAAAAAAAATGATTCATGATGGAAAGTGTTCGAGGCACTACACACGCATCCCGGATACAGTGCCAAGGTTACGATAGAGCTATCGTCCCTTTATCAGTTCGTCATAAAATACTTGCGGTAAAAGTAGGTAGAAATGTAAACTTTAAAACCACTTCTAGGGGCTTGCCGCTGTGTTGATCCACTTGGTTGTCACTTGGTTGACAAATTAAAAAAAAAAAAAGAATATCATTTCCGCCTTCTATATTTAGAGTGGCCAACCCAAGTCAATTTCCAGGTAGGGACCAATTTTGCGTATTCCAAAGTCGTTACATAGTAGATTACTACTTTGTAAGCTTTTCCTACATGTTAATTTGTGGGTTTTATCGGTTCTCTTCAAAATGATTTCTAATGTAAAGTGTTTCTTGCTCAAATTCCTTCTGAAAAACAGCGTTGTCCATGCATTATAACACGTTTGCTTACTTTTATGACTCAAGAATAACTACAATGCATAACCGGTTGCATTGCTGAGACGTCATCGGCAAGTTACTGTCTTATCAAACCTCGTTGAAGTCGCCCAATTTTTGTACATTGGCACGATTATAGTAGAACGGACCTACTAGTATGTTTTACGTCTAAATACTGTACAAGGTACACAAGTCACCCATTGCGTATTTTTATTATATATATATATAGCTAAGTAGGGAGTACTGCATGCGTGTAGCAAAAAGGGGGGAAGGAAGCTAGGTCCATGTGGCGTTTTTTTTTTTTTTTTTCATTCAATTCCTACAACGCTGTAAAACCTATATCGAAAAGCCGACTTGTTATCCAAGCTAAGCCGTCTTCACGGACCCTAAAGAGATTTATTAGATCTTGTAAACACACTCTTTAAATTGAAAATAAAATTGGTATCGGTTCTCTCGCGGAAGTAATAAACACTGACATCTCGCTAGAGGACACGTCGTGTCCTGAGTCCATTAACCGTAAAAAAGTGCTTAGTTATGTTAATGAGGAAGTAGGCGCACCTGATATACCTGGTATATAAACCAGAAACGTTCTTGGTTTTTAAACTCATTAGACTGTGAAGGTCCGCTTTAATAACTGTTGTGGAGTATGAGTATGACAACCACGATGAAGCACCTTTGTGTTGCGCTTGCATTCGTGATGGCTTTAGAATGCTGCGGCGTTTTAGGTAAGTAATGCTCACTTTTTTATTGTAAAAACTAAAGGCCCCCTCCACGGAATCTACCCGCCCTCTGAACGTGATTTACTCCTCAAGAAAAGGGCAATTTCCTCCTTTTGGGGAATTATTGGTCGACCCATCTCTGCACTTGGGTTCTATGTCGTACATGTATGACCGTGGGGATTTTCAAAAGAGCAAAGTACCCCATTAAAACTGATTTTATCTAGCTGTCATACTTTTCCCTAGTTGCGTATGTTCACCTTTTTAGTCAATCAAAGTACCATTTTGAGAGAGAGAGAGAGGTTAGACACATTGCTGAATTTTTATGTCCAAAGCGACACGCATTATCGTCGTCTCCCGTAGTTACAGATAATATGCTACAAACGCCATATTTTAATGCAAAAAATTAATACATAAATAAACTAATAGAAGGCCTACTTTTCTTTTTTAAATTTCAGGTAGACTTGATTGGGTTAAAGTTGTGAAGCGTCCGGCGTGCAAGCGTTTCGATGTCACTGTGTATATCGACTGTGATAAACCTCTGATTTTGTACCGCCCCTCCAACAGCCAGTTTTCCATGTTGTGCCGTTACTGTAGAGAAGGGATTAAAAGATACTGGTCCAGAGGAATTTCCTATGCCGGAAGTACTTGGAAAGTGAATGTCAACACAGTTTTAAGAAGCAGAGGTGACAGGAAGAAAATTAAGGTGTGCCTTTTCCTCTCAGTAAGATTTGCATCAAACCATTATTAATAAAAATATGTCTAAAACAGATATACTATTGAATTCAATGATTATCTTCCAGCGATTCCAGGTACAGTTTTTAGTTTTTAGTTTTAATCAGAAATTAAGGCTGGACCGTCTGCCCGGGGCTGACAACTTTCAGAACGGGCTGAGAAGTTTTCCCACCCAGCAGACATTCAGTCCAGCTACTTTTCAAGATGGCTGGACTTTCGGTCCAGCAACTTATTTTCCTAAGAGGCAAACACTGGTTTTAATATTCAGACTGTAAAGGCACCGTAAAGCTGAATTTGGCGCACAGATTACGATTAGCAGACTTTTCAGGTTTAAGAACGTCAATATTTGGATACTTGTTTACAGTTCCTATACCAAATTTTGGCTTGAAATTACGATTAGCGGACTCGTCAAGACATTACAGCAAGTTTTGGACACTTATTTTCGAAAATTTTCGAAATTTAAAGTCATTAAACCGGATCAACATGCACATTAAGGCTTTATTTTTTCATAAGCGCAAGAAGTAGAAATGTGACTAGGTACAACCTGTGTAAAGATAAATTGGCAATAAAAAACCCTCATTCGCCCTGTAAACGTGTGATTTAACACGTTTAAAGTTAACTTGTCAAAACGCATCTTTTGCGCGGGTTTTTAAATTTTTATCTTACAATTTCAGCTTCAGTGGCGAAAATCGTCTAGTCGTTCACACAATTCTGACATCTTGAAAATGACGGTGAAATATTTGAGCAAGAGAAGTGATGCTGCTGCCCTCTTCAAAGAGACCTGCGCTCATGAGATCGGCCATTCTTTTCTCAGAGATGCCCACGGCATTAAATACAGTTGGGGACATAAAGGTATTGGTTTGATTCAAATCAGCATTACAGTTATTGTGCGGACGTTTTCTGCAAGATTTTTGGTTTCTTCCCGGGGCCTACCGTCCTGTCCTAACTATAACTTTCTAACTCCCATATTTTTGTACGACCGACGAATGGTGAACATCCAAATCATGTTTGTACAGGGCATTGAGGAGGTTTACAGGCTCGTATATGTTGACCGATCACTTTAGTTGCAGCAAACAAACGGCAATAAGGACTGTATGCCAAAGAGAATAAAGAACACGTAAACCAGATAAATAATAACTGCAGCACCATTGACTTTTATTAAGGAGTCACGGGGGGAAAGAGGGAGAAAAGGATATACCTTTCATATTTAATGAGGGAGCACGCGCACACACACTCACACGAACGCACACACACACACACACATCAATGCATGTTCTATGGTAAAGCCTCTTAACCACGTAACTTCTAAACGAACACATAAATGTACACTATTTTAAAATTTTATATTTCTTTTAATTGAAGATTTCTCTAGCATTAATCTACTATTTGGAAGTACTCCAAACTTACAAAGATAGGAAACAAACGTTGGCACCCTTTAGAAATCAATTGTTTATTGATTGGAATAACAGGTACCTTTAAAAAGCCATTTTTTGACTAAATCTTTTGATTTAAAGGTACCTCAAGCATCTTTGGAGGAAGAAAATCAAGTGCGCCATCTTACCCCAGCAGCGGAGAGATAGACCTGATGAAGTACTACAAGGGCAGTGCCAGTAATTTCTATAGCAGAGTGGTCGCCGCCGAAAGTGATGTGGAGGATTTAGTGTTCAAAGTTAGAGACAGTTACACCACTAATTCTGGTAAGATGTTTAATATTCTAGGTGAACGTAAACACTTCGAAATGTTACCGATATGACACTGACTTTACTGACTTTACTCATAAATTCCAAATATCTCTTGCAAATAGCTGATGAACATTTTCAAATGGATGATGACAGAGTAGTAATCCTTCAGTCAATCGCTTACGGAATCCTTTTTAATGAAGTGCCTTTTTATTTTGCAGGTAAATGTTGATTGTCAGGCTTTCCCTTTACCTTTTGAGAAAAGCTGAAGGAACGTATTCGAAAAGAACTGGGACGCTTTTGAGAAGAGTGCAAAACTATAAATGTAACTCTTTTTAGAGGTTGACTTTTCCGAGACAAACCAACCTCCATTAAAGCTATTCCAAATAATAAGAATATGTCACACAGATATTTCTCTATTTCTGTGCACATTTCAGTGCTGTCCAGCGATAATTAAATTTGACGCTATTACTCAATTGTCTGGTAAGCACAGAGACAGAAGGTCTCAGTCTCGTTAAGAGAACTAGAATTACGCAGACGATTTTGGCATATTTAAGCCTAACATTTTAACAAAATATAAATTTATAATAATCCATACGCCAAACAAAATGGTTTTCACATCAATATCTTTTATATTTATTATTTTTGAAGATTTGAAAATAAAATCAAGGCTTTGGGAGTTTTTCACCATTGCATACTTTATAAAAAAGCACTTTTTTGTGTCTCCATTGTTTACACACACTGCCTCGCTGTCTAGAAAACAGAACTGTCTGGCAAAATGCGGAAGTTGAAGTTAAAATGTCGGCTCCTTATTGCCCAAAACAACATGGTTTTAAAATTTGCGCCCTCTGCAATATACCTTTCTACGACTTCTAACGTATTCTTCAAATTATGATGTTTTTGTGACACCGAATATTGATGGGGTGAGGAGAGATTCCCTTCGATACACCTAACACTATAAATACAAAGAGCATCCCCCTTAAAATATAGACAAAAATAATGTCGTTTTAAGCAACGTATTTACCTTTCAACACAGCAAAACATTTCCAATATATCTTTTCTAATGACACCCGAAAACAATCGTTAACTATGATTTTTCGGGGGGAAATCTCACACTGGGCATCTTTAAGTTGGTTTTTGTATTAACGTATCAGTGCAGCCAGCAGCATTGATATTACATCGGAATTAAACCAGTCTATATTACCGCCAGACAAACTGTTCTGTGGGTCCTGCAATAACTGTATTGTCGTAAAAACAGGTTAATGCTCAGTCTGGAACTAAGGGGAGGATGGCAAACTTTTGGGTCGTTGACCAAGTGTCTGAAAAATATTATATAAACAGAGACAGAAATTTCAAGAAATATCATCATTTTATGCTCATTTATGTGTTAGGGCCCTTGATCTACCAGATGTAAGCTTATTGTAAACGGCATCACACGCAATAACAGTTGAAAAAAAAGGAAAAGTGCCTGTATAGCTAATTATATGCATTTGTAGTATCTATAGTTTCACGGACTATAGTGAAATTTGTTTTTAGTTTCTTGCCTGACTTTACTTATTGTCACTACTTTTTATCTTTACTGTGAGCTTACATTTTTACAGTTTTTACACAAATTGTCAACGCTCCGTTCAGACACTTTGCAGATCTACATAGGATAATGAGATCTTCAGTATACACATACACTCAGAGATGACATTAAACTGATAAATTGTGGTAGTTGAGAGCACATTCATACAGCATATGGTACATGTAAGACGAAATTTCTTTACCTAACAAACAACTTCAGGCCTTATAAACGGGTTAGGCGTTTTCTAGCGCGAGCCTCAGATTTGGGAGCACAAATGCACAAATTAACGATTCCAGCCACGTATTATCACCCAAAAGTAAAATTACTTGCCACAAGCACAGCGTTTTATTACACAAACCGTTTATCCGCTTATCTACTCTTTCGGTACGTCCCCTATATGAGCCGGAGATTGTCGAGAACGCATCGCTGCCGTATAAAAAAACAGGGGGCCTATGTATACAGTCAGAGGCCCGGATGGAAGCTGGCCACATTGTTTATGAAATGAATGGTTTAGAAACGCTAAGTTTGTGACAAGTAATTCTACGTTGGGGGTAGTTAATTCGTGGCTGGAGTCTTTAATTTATGCACTTGTGCTCCCAAAACTAAGCCTATAAAACTATTATAAAACGGCAATCATCGGTTATAAGGCCTAAACCTAATGGAGCAAAAGGTTGACATAAGAGAAAAAATGGCCACAAGATGTGAGAGAACCTGCTCACATCCCCTCCCCGCTAATCATAGAATACTTGAGCCAAGGTAGCAGAGATTTAAAGAAACGAACAACTTGTAGCGGCTTGTCAGTGTGATGACTGTAATTTGAATTTATTAAAAATTTCCGCGTTTTTTATTCATAGAGGCCACTCAAACTTGATTTCCAAGTAGCCACTAAATTTGCACATTTTAAATCGTTATGCTAGACTAAATTTGCATATTTTAAATCGTAATGCTATTAATTACTATTTTAAAGCTTTTCCTGCATGTTAATTTGTTTTGCCTATGATTTCTTCTTAGAAACACCGCTGTTTATGGTTTCTCTTGAATATGATTTCCAATATAAATAGTTTCCTCTTCAAATTCCTTCTAAGAAACACCGTTGTATTACAGCACGTTTACCTAATTCTAATGGTTATAGGATAACAACTCACGTCTACATTGGTCAATAAATTACAGATCCACAACTTCTACTTGAATTTTAAATGTACCCTATACAGAATCAAGCCGCCAAAAAAATTTTCCTCGGGGGGAAAAGCAACTTTCTCCTGCACACGAATCATTGCTCTATTTGTCCCTGCACTTGGATCCGTTGTTTATTAGTTTTAACCCTTAATCTAAATGAGTGGTCAGTCCTTTAGAACACCATGTCTTCCTTTGCATTTTAGAAGGAACTATTGATGTCAGGTACTTTAAATTGACGGATTTTATAATTGATTGGATTGGGAAAGATTGGTAGCTTTGAATAGCTCAGAATATTTAGACATAGAAAATATGACCTTAGGAAATTTTCAAACGCGCATAGTAAACCTTCAATAAAATCATTCTAGGAACACGTATACATAAAAATCAGATAACACTTTGACGCCTGTGGATAAAACAAGATGCGACATTGATGAAAGAAGATACTGGAACAGTCTCATATATCGCGTCGTCATCATTATGCCCCTTGTTTTGCTGTGGCTATTCGTTTATGAAAAAAAAAACAGAGAGAGAGAGAATAATTTAGAGGAGACTGCATCTTTTTACAAACAGCCGAATGAATAAGTTATCAACTCAACCCTAAACGTTTCATTCATTACGTAGGGCTGTACCCAGCATTTTCAAAGGGGTGTATTTCTGGAAAGGAAGACATTTTCACCGCAAAACCCGCGTGTGCTTCGGTAACGGCATATAACTTAAATAAAATTTTGATTCAGAGCGATCCTTTTCCCATCCTAACAAGGCAGTTCTTTTAAACCTCCTGAACCCCTCTGTGCACAGCCTTGTTCCGCATACTATAGCTATCCCAGTGTGTAACTGTGTACCAACAACTACCACCGCGAAGACTCTGTTATGCTATCAAAAGAATGAAATAAATCTTTTAGGGATTCTGCTCTAACAGCACGCGTGCATTCTAATTACTGAACAGTACTTAAAAGTGAGATGTAGCTCTGCCACTATTACATACCATACGCAGATCAACTAGAGTGAGACAACAATGGTCAAGCTCTGCTCTTTGGTGTTTTTCGTGTGGATAGCAGTGGTCAGCAATGGCGTTTTGGCAGGTGAGATCAATCTATATAAGTTCTAAGGGTTAATAATGGGTTTCAATATAACCCAATTCAAACACAGCGGCTCATATTTCTGAAAATAAAATTCCATCCTTGTAATGAATTATTCGATTATATTTGCTATTGAGCAGTGGGATTTGGGGACGAATATTATTCACAGACAAAATTTTCTGTGTTCTGCTGACTGTAAAACATTTTCCCCAAGTTCGTCTGTAAATGGGCAGATAATAGTCCCTTTGTCTTGCAGCAACAAACAGAGTATTCCCTTTTTCAAAGACAAATAGCATAAAGATTTATCATACAGAGTTTCGGATAGATCAGCAAACCTCTGGGTGAAATGTCAGGATGTCCTAAATTATTTTATGCTGTTGTGATGAAATGAACAATTGAATTCATGTGAATTGACCTGTTTTAACTGCCTTGAAAAGGGACACCTGTTATATTATCTTTCTTCAGTTTGCTATATGTCAGCATACGAGTATGTAATTATGGCAGACTAAATGCTCCTAGAAAGTTTCAAAATACCAATGATAGATAGAATAAGGAAACGCACTTAGCACTGTTACATATTGTTTTATCATTTACACATGTAAGGTCTAACATGGAAAGTGCAGGCTTTTTTTCAATTTGTAATACATTTACATGTGCAGATATTAAACAAATATCCTAGACGGCATATAAATAACATGACATACAAGTTGAAATTTAAAAAATGTTGCATTACTCATATCTATAACAATATTTTCATCTATATTCTTTAATTAGTAGAGATAGATTGGTGTTTTTTTGCAGTGATGAAATGATTGGCAGTAGAGGTAAAATGCTGTTATATAAGTTAATACTGATTTATGAAATAACATATGGAATGTCCACTATATATATCTAAATAAAACGACTTACTGTTTAATAAAGCATTTATAACAATTTTCATTCTTATTTATTAGTTACTCTTAGTACATGTACTAAATATTTCTTTCTTATGATAACAAACGTTTTTCTCTCGCTATACTATTGTCAAAAGGGAAATACAGAGAGAAAAATGACTCAGAATTTTAAGGTTTCTCTAAAATCCTGGGTCCATCCTTATAAGAAATTTAAAATGTTATATTTTGAATACACAGCTTTATTTATGCTTTCATTTTTAACCTTCATTCTTGATACATTAAAAGTTTAGTTCGGTCACCACCAAGAGAGCAAGAGGCAAAATGACTTTTTTTATCGTTTCTTTCATGTGAAATGCCTAAATATTGTTATAATAAAATTTCAATTTCAAAAACACATTTAGAATACAAACTGTAAGAGGATAAGGGAAATCTAGCTTAATCCCCTATCCTTTAGCTGAAGGCGGTGAAATATACACGTAGAAAACATAAAATAAACATGATTTTCATATATAGGTAAGCTGGATTGGGTAAAAGTTGTGAAACGCCCAGCTTGCAATCGCTTTGATGTCAGCGTCAGCATTGACTGCGATAGAGGGCTCATCAAACGTCCGTCTAACTACTGGTTCAAAAAGCTGTGCGGCTACTGTAGAGAGGGTATTCAGAAATACTGGTCCAGAAAGATTTCCTATGGTGGTAGCACCTGGAAAGTGAATGTCTACACAGTGCTGAAAAGCAAAGGAGACAGGAAAAAAATCAAGGTTTGAAAATCCGCTTTGTTTTTCCTTTGATCATCTCTTTAATTGATCATCTCTTTATAACTTCTTGCTTTGATATAGAATTTGATAGTGTTGCGCGCGCACGCGTGTGTGTGCGTTTGTAAATTCGCGTCACTCGGCAATTTTTTTTTTTTTTTTTTTTTGCTTTACCAGGTTTTAATTTGTTTTATAGAGATTTAGTAAGATTGGGAAAAATGTGCCTTGTTATGAATAAAAGAAAATTGGTAATAGGACTGTAATTGAAGCATATCGTTTTTGCAGCTAAGGTACTACAAGAGAGAAGGATGGTTCTTCAGCAGTACACGTTCCCACAACTCAGACATCTTGAAAATGACGGTGAAATATCTGGCCTACAAAAGTAACGCTGCACTTCGCTTCAAACGTACCTGCGCTCACGAGATCGGCCATTCCTTCCTAAAAGCTGCGCGTGGACTGACCTATAGTTGGGGACACAAAGGTATCAATCTCTCAAAGGCATAGGGAGCAAACATATTGACGCAAAAGACTCCTTCAACACGAATTATGATTGTTTTTTGTTTTTTTTTTTTTTTTTTTTGGTTTTTTTTTTAGTTCAGCCTGTAAATATTTAGTGAAATTGGTAGGTTTAAACTTTTTTTTAAATAAAGCAACTTAATAAATTCCTGAGTCGCACAGCATGTGGAGACGGATATCAACGACTTAATCCCTACTAAGACCATGTTTCACGCAATGCCTTATGTTATTATAATCAACTGTAATGATGTGTAGCATTTTAAAGGTGCGATTTAATCTGTAGGTACCTCAAGCATCTTTGGAAAAATAAAGTCAAATGCGCCATCTTATCCCAGCAGAGGCGAAATTGACCTGATGAAGTACTACAGGGGGAAGGCCAGTAATTACTACTCCAGATCGATCGCCGCCAAAAGTGACGTGAAGGACTTGGTGTTCAAAGTTGGAGACACTTTCACCACCAATTCTGGTAAGATTTTTGATATTTTAGGTGAATGATAGCACTTTCCAAATAGGTACCGGTAGGCCTATATATGACACGAATAATGAACCAAGCATTCACAGTACTTAATCCCTCTTGCAAATTACTGATGAATTATCTTTATTGGAAGATGATAGAGCAAAAACAAACAAACAAACAAATTAAGGTTCATTCAGTCAATCGCTTTGAGAAACCTTTTAGTGAAGTGTCTTTTTTATTTTGCAGGTAAATGCTGATTGCTAGGCTTTCCCTTTACTTTTTAAGAAAACCCGAAGAGTCGTATCCTAACGAAATGCAAAACTATAACTGTAACTCGTTTTGTTTTTCTTTTGAGTTTGTACAAAGACTAACCAACCTTGAAAAAAGCTTTTTCAAATGACCTGCAACAACTGAAAATATACTTTGAAAGTTACGTCATTTAGGTACTATTCTAGGTAGAAATCAATAAGACCTGTCATATACATGTACTTTGTCTATAAACATTCAACCTGTCACAAGAAACATGAAAAATCTCAAAATTAATACAAAAATTTATAAAATTATTCTACTATGTTCTATTTTATTTATTCCTCTTTTTATATTATAATCTATTTATAATAATCTATTTATAATATTATTTAATATCCATCTGTTTATTTAACCGATGTATTCATTCATTTAAATTTTTGTCTTCTATTTTTTTTTTTTTTTTTTTGTTCATTTATTTTTGCAAAATATGGAAGATCATTAAAGCCATACGATATTTTGTATGTTTGCCAGCACTCCTACACAAATTTCAATAAAAGAACGATTGGAATATCTCAGATTATTGTTGGAAATCATAAACATAGGAATCAAATAACACATGTACAAGATGTGGCTTTGATGAAAGAAGATCCCAAACCCGTCTTATATTTCGCGTCGTCTTGTTTCAACTATGCCCCGTGTTTTGCTTTGAAAATGTATTTACATTTCATGAATAAACGGAGAGAGAGAGAGAGAGGGGGGGGCGGGGCGGGGGAATAGTGAGAGGAGACTTCTTTGGACAAATATGGAATAACCGAGAGATAAACGCAAACGCAAGTGTTCCATTAATTCCACGGGGCTTAAACCAGCAATTTCAAAGGCGGGGAGGGGGGTATTTTTTTTTTTTAATGAAGACCTTTTTACCGCTTAATCTACCTTATAGGTTATTTTTTCAAATATTATATCTGTAATACTGACATCCAAAAACGTAAATTACGGCAGAGGGTAGTAAATTTTTACAATTGTACAATTGCATAAGCCCGGAACTAATTATTCACGAACTTTACAATGTCACGGTGCCAGAACATGATTGACTGGCAACAACAAGGCAAAGACTGTCCGCACATAATGTTGGAAATAGAGAAAGGAAATTGGGCAAAGATTCGCGGGAAGGACCGTTTGTGTACACGTGAGGACATACAGACTGGAGAGCACGTGATTTGTTTCTGTGCAAAAAAACAACTGAAATTAGAAATGACTTTCTACAGCTTGACTCTGGAAACCTTGCAAATGTTTTTAAAAACATTTAAATAGTCCAAATACGCAAGACATCTCTAAGTGTATAAGGTTATGTCAAGAAGCAGTTTCGTAAAACAAGGCCGCGTAACAGATGCTTTTTTTGTTATATATATTTGTTTCATATTTTGTATATTATGGATATAAAAAGGTCTATCTATCTATCTATCTATCTATCTATCTACCTGTGCTTCAGTAATGGCATGGGCTTAAATCAAATTTTACTTCAGTACGCACCCTTCCGAATCTCCTGGACCACTCTGTCGAGAGCCCTTTTCGCAAAGCTATCCGGGTGTGAAACTGTGTGCCTTGCGCGACGAAGTCACTGTTATGCTAACAAAAGACTGAAAAAAAATTACACTATCTCATTTTACGACACGTATGCAGTCATGTGGGCTGAACAACTTACTTTAAAGGGAGGCGCACTTCTGCCACTATCACACACCGTACGCAGATCAACTCAAGTGAGACAACAATGGTCAAGCTCTGCTCTTTGGTGTTTTTAGTGTGGATAGCACTGGCCAACAATGGTGTTATGGCAGGTAAGATCAATCTATATCAGTCCCAAACGGATTTCAATATAGAACATTATAAGAAATCGCTAATTATTCATAAAACCCAAAATTTCGCCTTTGCCATAAATTATTGGTTTACATTTTATTTTGGAAACAAAAAAATTAAGACGACCCGCCAGAAATATCACTACTGAGCAAACTTAATGACAAAATTTCTCATTTTACATTTGCAATTGGGCAGAAAGCATGTGGGAAGGTAATATGCCTTGCAGCAACAAATAAAGTCAGGTCAAATATGATAAAGATTTACCATACAGTGTTTTGGATAAAAAACGCAAACATATGAACGAAATGTCAGAATGTCCAAAATTATTTTATGCTGTGGTGATGAAATGAACAAATGATTCATGGTGAATGGCCTATTAAAGGGACGATAAACCATAAATGTTCATGTCTTTTAGTTTAAAAAAGTAAAATTACAATGGTGTTATTGTTGAATAAGAAAAAAAGGTTATATTATGGGTATAGTAGGCCTACTATCTCTCACTGGTGATTCCAGACTAGGATAGAATATAGAAGATATATTTTGGGTCCTAGTTCCAGAGTGTTGACATGGAGTAGGGTAATTAATCAACTAATTAATCTCTGTCCTTTACCTGAAGGCCATGAAATATATATGTAGAAGACACAAAATAAGCATGATTTTCATATATAGGTAAGCTAGATTGGGTAAAAGTTGTGAAACGCCCAGCTTGCAAGCGCTTTGATGTCAGCGTCAGCATTGACTGCGACAGAGGTCTCTTCAAACGCCCATCTAGCTCCTGGTTCAACACGCTGTGCGGCTACTGTCAAGATGGAATTAAAAGATACTGGTCCAGAAACATCTCCTTTGCCGGTAGCACCTGGAGAGTGAATGTCAACACAGTGCTGAAAAGCAGAGGAGACAGGAAGAAAATAAAGGTTTGTTTTTTTTTTTACTATAGGCCTATATATACAATACAATTTGTTTTGTGAGGTTAGTGTAGATATTTCTGACACTGCTTTTTTTAAAGACTTCGCCCGGTCTTGCTATTTTGAGTAGCTCCAGCACGGGTATACATCATTTCAAAGTTAGGCCAGGCTCCACTTGCTACTGGTAACAGAAGGGCGAATGAGCCCCAAGCTAGCCAACGGCCATCCATATCTAGAGAGGGGATGGAAACCACCGGATTATCTCCTCCGAAACACAGTGATGAGCTCACCAAAATTGTGAACTCATTAAAGTGCCCCAACGGCCGTGAGACTACGAGAATGACCTAACCTAACCTAACCTAACCTATTACATCAGTTCATAAAAATAGTAATAAGAATGTAATTTAAGCCTTGCATGATTGCAGATAAAGTACTACAAGAAAAAAGGATGGTTACCTGGCAGTACACGGTCCCACAACTCGGACATCCTGAAAATGACGGTGAAATATCTGGCCTACGAAAAAGACCCTGAACTTAGCTTCAAAGAGACCTGCGCTCATGAGATCGGCCATTCTTTCTTGAAGGCAGCGCACGGATTGAGATATAGTTGGGGACACAAAGGTACCATTTTCCCTTAGTAACGGGAGGGAATAGTTAGCTCTTAAGTCTTTTTTAAAATGAATTTTGATCGCTTTTTGATACTTAAATTCTTGATGCTCTTGCGTAAAGAGGGTTTTTAGTCCTATAATACTAATTAGTGGCAAATCTTGTTCACTCTCTGTACGAAAAGCTCCAATGGTTTTTATTCATAAGGTTGTGTATATATGAGAATGAATAAATAAATAATGTTACATTTTCATATAATTTTCCGAACATGGAAAAATGGCTGCTTCAAAGAAAAACATGCAATCTTCCATTGTCCTATTCTCGCATAAAATATAATTCGTTTTTAAGAAACTTGGTAATGATGTGTGCAAAGAGGAAATAATTCAGTCTGAGTGTTTTTAAATTACAAAGCAATTTAATAAATGCCTTAGTCACATAGTAAAGAGAGTGGGACATCACAAATTATATTAACAAAGTCCATCTTTCACGTCAGACATCATTCTTTTTACATAATCAACTGTAATATTATGTAGCCTTTTAAAATAGCTTGACAGGGATCTCATTTCAAATGTAGGTACCTCAAGCATCTTTGGGAAAAAAAAATCAAGTGCGCCATATTACCCCAGCAGCGGAGAAATAGACCTGATGAAGTACCACAAGGGCGGTACCAGTAATTTCTATAACAGAGTGGTCGCCGCCGAAAGTGATGTGAAGGATTTAGTGTTCAGAGTTAGAGACAGTTGCACTACAAATTATGGTAAGATGTTTATATTTTAGGATTAAAGGTGGACATTTTCTGACACTTATGAACCCGACCTATTAATGTGGGATGATTGACTATTTCTGCTATCTATTTAAGTTTTTGCTAATTTGTAATGATGTTTTGATTCTGTTTTTTTTTTTTTTAATCTTGGTGTTTATTTAAGTCTTTATATGATTTTAAAATGATCTTATAAAAATGCATCTTATTCCTTTCCTTATCCAGGTAGTTGCTAACCATAAATGGATCTTGGGTGTCATCTTCAAAGTTGAGATATTTCCACACACCCACAAACCAGGATCTACACTCTAATGACTGATGCTTTCTTTTCAATTTTGTAACCAGGAAAAAATGTTAATTTTGCATAGCATTCTCCCTTCTTTGTACCAGTTTTTTAAAAAACAGTCACTGAAATAAGAGAAAGTCGTGGGCAAAATAAATATTTGAAATATTACTGGTATATGCTATTTTTATGCCTAGTTTACTCCAAGGGGTGCACACTGCATTCTCCATTTAATTCTCTACAAATCAGTTTTTACTTATTATACAATTCTTTATCAATAAAAACCAGGATTGTGTGAAAATAAAACCAGGATCTACACTCTAATGACTGATGCTTTCTTTTCAATTTTGTCACCAGGAAAAATGTTAACTTTGCATGGCATTCTCTCTTCTTTGAACCAGTTTTGTAAAAAACAGTCACTGAAATTAGAGAAAGCCATGGGCAAAATAAATATTTGAAATATTACCGGTATATGCTATCTTTATGCCTAGTTTACTAGGGGTGCACACTGCATTCTCCGTTTAATTCTCTACAAATCAATTTTTTACTTATACAATTCTTTATAAATAAAAACCAGGATTGCTTGAAAATAAACAGGTGTGCTTGAGCATTCGGATGCCCCCTCAATCACGGCCCTCTTCTCACTTAAGTCTGTCATCAGACAAAATATTGGCTGATAAATTTCTGTAATTTTTTTACTTAAACTATAGACTAATAAAACTATTTACCTATTTAAAACACACAGTAAATGAAGCTGTTCAAACACAAGTTTTGTTTGGTTATTTTATTTACAAGCATTTACTGTCCTGTGTTTTGTCAATCTCTTTTTCGCTCCCATGTGTTTTGATTTTAAAAAATTTGTGAGCCCCCCCCCCCCTTTTTTTTTAAAGAGATAGATACAGTTATGAAAATTACACTTGTTTGTTTTCTAACATGCCAGCAACAGTTATATGGCTTGACAAACACTGGATACAAGGAATGATGGATGCAAAAATTGTCAAACCCTTTCAAAAATCACTCTCCCATTTCACAAAATTACCAAACAGCTTATTTGTCATGTCACTAAAACTTGTTTAGTCTCAGGAAGTGAACTGAGGTTCTTTTTATAGCACTGTAAACTGCAGAGAGGAACTCCAGTCTTGGAGCAAGTGTAAGTCTTTGCATTTGTGCACCCTTCCACTCCACAACTGGGCCTTGGTGGGGGCGGCCTGCAATGTCAACAGAGAAGATGAATTAGCAATGATGATATCCTTACTGAACATGTAAAAAAGTATATAAATGGCAATAAATAAAAAACTTGTGTATGAACTATGGAACACGAAGAATATATCTTTCAACTACATATTTATCTTTCACTTTGTGAACACCGCAATTAAGCAGCTGAGTACTTGGTCAAAAGTTCCCTTTTTGAAAACCTTTGGCTGGCAGCAATTTTGCACTTAATATTTTCCCGAAATTTGACAATAAATATCTAAGAATATTCCCAGTAGTCCTTAGTTAGCAAAGTTTCTTACAGCTCACATCTTTATTATTTTTTGTGAGTGTGAGTGAAACAGGTTTCTCTCCAGTACTCACTGTTTCTGTAGCTGAGTTTGGTATGGAAACTGGAAACCCTGGGGCACTGATATAGTGCACACCTGTTGGTTATTCACATATCGTATTCTAGGGATCTCAGATTTTCTTGAACCACGAGTCTGAAGGATAATAATAATGTGTCACTTTCAAAAGTAAATCCATTTTTAAACAGCTGCAGTTCTGAGTACAGATTTCAAACTTTTAAAAATATCTTAAGTGAGAAGACTGACGAATATTTTTGTTGTAAATTTCATATTAAAAATTAAATAAAACCTTTGTGTGAACAAGTTGTTTCTACAGTTTTCTGGGGATTATGGCTATTAATGACAGTTGGATATAAAAGATTTACCTTGTGTCAGATTTACCACATAAGTTACAACAAATTGGCTATTTGCACATAAAAAACTAAATCAAATACACCTCCTTGCACATAAAAAAATAAACTAAATCAAATACAACTCCCGCTAAAAAGGGGTTTTACCTTTCCTTTGCCTTTTATTTCTTGCTTCTTCAACAACCTCTCTACAGTTTGTTTCTACATGAATGAAAAAGACAAAAAATTTTAATCTATCCAATTTTGTTTCAAACTAGTGTTAAGACAACACCATTAATCACAACCTTGCTTAAAATGGGAATAAAACTGTCCTTTATAAATCAATAGCAGTCTTGTTTGACTTCATTCTGCAATTTTCAACATGAAATTTATCTTTAAATAATAATAAGTACATGAAATAAAATTTATCAAACCACAAAGCACCTTGGCGAAAAAATATTGAGGTATTTCATTTCAAATATCTACAGATTACATACTTTGGCTTTTTCTTTTTTCTCATGTGCTTGCTGCTTCCTTTTCTTTGCTCTTTGTTGTCGTTTCTGTAGTTGTTCTTCAGTCAGCTGGATTGTCTTGTATTCTGTTTTACACATATATAATGTCCATATTTATCAAATGAATAAAGTATCCATATGAAATATTACCTGATACTCATTGTACGTAACATATGAAAACCTTTATTTTGTAATATGGTTTGTAAAATAGACTCAGGGTATTCATTTCAAAATTGTTTTTAAAAGCGCTTAAAAGTAATTGTTGCATAAATGAGGTAACAAAGAATTACGTCAAGGGTAATTGATTTACTATGAACTAAAATAACATACGTAAATACAAAAATACAAACATACATACTTATGTATTTCTTTAAAATTCTTACCTGTTGGTGGCTGCCACAAGGACTCATTGTGTTTACCTTCTCTAAGAGCTCTCTAAAAATAATTATATTATGAACATTAGAAACAATATAAAAATACCAAAAATAGACTTTAAAAATGTGAGTATATCCACTAATAGAGTTCCAAAGCAGACAAAATTAGCTAAACATAATGCATTTTTAACATGCTAAAAACTTCATAAAAAAAAA